TCACCTGCTCATCTTCAAATATCACTGCAGGATCTTAAGTACCCACCTGAGAAGGCGGACAGAACCTTGGCCTAATGTCTTGCTTGAAGTATGGCCCCTATGACAGTATAGTTCTTTGCTGTCTGGATTTAACTTGAATCACAGCCTTCAGCCTCAGCAGCGAGTGTGCTAAATATACTGAGCCAGCAGTGAAGCTGACATGAGTCCCCAGTGCTTTATCTTTAACATTGGTACTCTCATAGCTTTCGTGAACTTCCTCCGCCCTAGCTCTTACTACCCCCCGAGCCCTACAAATAACATTGACCCAAAATTTATTTTGCTTTACTGAAATAAAAGCAAATTACTACAAAAGCAAAGCTATAAATCCCAGCAGTTCACTCCTCTATCACTCCTAACACTTCGTCATTCTTAACACTTCCTCACTCCCCGATGGGACGTTCCCATGCAATCTTAGAAGGCATATCATCTGCCCATTCAGGTCTCTTACCTTACCCTCCAAGACCCCAAACACACCTGCCAGGTTAAAAAGCATTTTACTTGTCCTTCTTTTAACCTAGTCTGCTGTAGTCTCTGTTCACAATGTGGTCTCTTTACAAAGACAAAACAAATGCAAACTGGGTGACTGCTTGCAGGATAACTCCACTGAGGTTAGGGAACATGTTCATTTGCTCTTAAGGTAATAGTGACTTCAGTTTGCAGTTTGTTTTGGGTTTTTCAGGGGGAAATGTCAGCTCAAGAAAAAAAAGCATTGAGTGAATGCTCAGAAAGAAACCAGTTGCAGCTGCACCAGCCTGAATGAGAAGCCTTGATGTGGAGACAAAAGTAGAGAATATTGTTGGGATCAATGGAATAGCATGAGTTTGAATTCTTCTCCTGGTGCTTGTACTCTAAATTTTCCAATTTTTTTTTGTCGAGTATCAGAGTTTTTTTTAATATCCCTTAAAAGTATATTTGCAAGTCTTTGTCAATGTTCTCAATAACTGCTCTCAACAGTTTTAAAACAAACCAATGGGTTTATCAAAGTAGGTTTCAATCTAGGATTTGGCTTGTCCAACATTAACATCAGTTGGGATCGCAACACTGGAGTGCTTAACATGTTTCAAATTCTCCTACATATCCTTAAATCTTTGATTGTATAAGCCAGAGATACAGAGAAATTATTTAACAACTAGAACTGCTACAGATTTCAGAACAATGCTGGAACTAAAGACATCAGCTGTTTCTTACATAATATGTGGCAGTCACACTCCAAATGTTTAAATCACAAAAAGAAAAGAATTAAGTTCCCATCCGCCAGTTACAAAAATAGATGAATACTTCAGTGGTATTTAAAAAGCACAAAACTGAAAATTAGATACATAAAAAGGGGTTAAGCCTGTCATTAAACTACTGAGAACTGATAATTATTGGGACAGAGACTCCTCATTTCAACTTTTTAAACAGTAAAATAATACAGTACTGACATCTAAAACAATGACAAACAAAAATATGCAAGACTGATGACTCTTTCCTGATTAAAAAGGCTTTGAGGAAAGCAACTGCACATAAGAGAATGTCAGACCAAACAATACATTTGCCTTGCAGAATATTTGTACACCAAGATCCCTGTAGATGTTTAGCTGGTCCCATCAGGGTGTACCCACTTTATTAGAGACTCTAGACAACAAAGGGTGCAAAGAACAAATTCCAATTCCCAGTTTTAACCCACAACTGACACTATTTCCTGATCTGCTTTTCCCCTTCAGCATGGGCACGATTCCACTGGTACCAAGTTAAAGAGATATTTAGTCAAATGACAAAACCTTTCATCATGAGGTAGGTTTTAAGCAACATCTTAAAGCAGGAAAATTAGGGATGAAGGCAGAGAGGTGTAAAGAGGGAATCCTAAGCTTGACACTGCGGTAACATAGAGAACAGCCACCAATGGTGCTGCAATTAGAATTAGGAAGACATATTAAATAGCAGAGCAGGTTTGATGGGCTGATTGGCCTACTCTATGTCTACATTTTATCTCACAAGAAACCAGAGTTACAGGAATATTTATCTCAGAGGGTTACAGGGCTACAGGATGTTGTGGAGATTGGGAGGGGTGAAGACATGAATTAATTTGCAAACAAGGCTGAGAATTTTTAAATCAAGACATTCCTAACAAAACAATGCAAGTAAGTGAAGAGTGGAGTGAGGGGAGCAGTGAACAGAACTTGGTGCGATCTAAGACACAGACAGCAGAGTTTCATCTTCCCTCAAAGGTGAGATGAGAGAGCCCAGATGCAAGTTGGAACAGTCACATTGAAGGGTGAAAGGCAAGAAAGTGGGTTTCACCAGCAGACAAGCTGAAACTGGAACACATTTAGGCAATGTTACAAAAACTGACTTAGACTTCCTATGTGATGACATGAAGCTGCTCTTGGAATCAAATATGACAACTAGGTTGTGGGAAGGTTGGTTTAGTCTCATGCAGTTGCCAGGAAAAGAAATGAAGTCAGCACCTATGGAATGGAGTTTGGAGTGTGGTCCAAAAACAATGGTTTCAGTTTTCCCAACATGTAACTGGAGAAACTTTCATTCATCAACTGCAGATTAAGTGCAGAATAACTAAAAGAGAATTTGACAGCAAAGTATTGAAAAGATGGAAATATTCAAAATTATATGGGATTTGTGCAAAGTAGATTGTTCTGTCAATCCAGAAGGGTGAAAAACCAGACAGCACCAATTTATGGCAGTTAGCAAGACGACCAAAGGCAACATTAAGAATGCAACATCTACGAGTGTGGAGGAGAGAGGATAAATCATAGCTTTATCAAAGACAATTGGATAAACACATGAAAAGAAAGGCTTTGCAAATCTACAAGGAAAGAGCATGGCAGTGTAATTTTTTACTTGTTCCCACATTGTGGACATCGGTGATGAGGTCAACAGCTATCGCCCATTCAGCAAGGCCTTGATGTGGCAAATTAACCATTCTCTGCTTTAACTATTTCACCATCTCATGAAAGGGGGATAAAATAATTTCAGAAATTATTTTCAGCACAATTATGTCCATTCAAATTGATCCACAACAGATCATTGCATGGTCCAAATCTCAGACTGGCATTTGTGAGTGAAATAATTTGAGTTTTTTTTATAACAAGAGAAACTACAAAATTACAGTACAGGCCCATCCACACTGAAAATGAGAAAAGGCTTAACCAAACTGGAAGAAGGATGAACGGGGGCCTCCTTGAATGGGAAACAGGAACACGTAAACAAATGCAGGTAAAAGCAGAGTTACAATCAGGAAAATCGACCCATGCAGGAAAAAGAACACTGCACTACAAGTCTCTCAGCAAAGCATCAAACATCAAATGAAGAACAGAAGAGCACTGATGTAGCTAATTAGGGTACAAAATGGGTTGCAGTCTTGAAGATGTTTCATCCTAATTTTGTGATTTTTGTTTGCCTCCTCATTTCATGTTTGCATTTGTTATTTCTATCTATACTAAATGAAAAGTTTTAAAATCTTGAACATAAATGTGAAATTATCGTGATATCTCAGTTGTCAGGATTTCACACCACCTTACAATAATTGATACTACAAAAGCAAAAGTCGTTCTCATCAGGAGTTCAATCACTTAATATCCCTAGTCCACAAAGTAGTAGAGTCAAAATTCAAAACATTGATACTAAACAAAAGCATCACTTACTGACACAGCAATCTTGCCACAAACTGGGGAAAAAATCTTGAATTATAACACGAGATTCCACTGTAATCAACGACTTAATGTCATTCAGGTGTATTAATGAGGGGAACTGGGAAGGAAATTGTAAAATGTTTGGCCCTGAAGGCTGCCCTCACTGAGGCACGATTCTTTTTTGTACTTCAGTCGGATGTATGAAAAGAACATCTGGGTTGCATCACGTGACAACTTTCCCAGAGCCAGAATGACCCAAGGAGTTTACAGCGTTACAACTGTCTATTGTAAAGTAGGAACAGATTATTTATATACAAAAGGAAAATACAATCAAGTGAAAAAAAAACGTGATCCAAAATCATCCACTCTTCAAACAGGAACCACTGAATAACCAACAGGAGAAACACTTCCTAACTAAATAAGTGATACTCAGGTCAATTTGAGCGATATCAGAATAGAAGCTACACATTTATTTGCACCACCTATGAATTTCACATTTTCCCACTTGTTTCAAGTCTTGCATTGTTGCACATATTCTCAAGTCCACAGTGAGTCTGATGATGGTCTCAACAAAAAACAGATTCAATAAAGTTAATCTCAATGCATTATAGATGAAATAAATCAAATTACAGCCCTTCGAAACATCCTCAACTATCTTGCTTAACTAGATCTCTCATGAAATAACACAAGGACACAGTGAGTCCATTATTTTTATTAATGTTTGTCTCTCATATGCATCACTACACTAACTACACACTGCATGTACAAAACCAGTCATGTTCCAGATAGTTCATAGAACCATCACAAGAGATAACTTGCATCCTCATTTAGTTTCAAAAGGCAATAGGGCAACTCTTCTCACAAAATATAATACGAATACGTTCAGAAAACACATCAGCTCTTGCTGTGATCAATACATCAAGGAAAAGGTCCAGACTCACTCCAACGGGGGAAGCTCTGTCATGCTGCCGCTGGAAGGAGGTTGTAACTGCAGCGTGACATGTTTACATAGGTGATCGCTGTTTTGAGAACTGTTAAAGGAGGAAGGTGGGATCACAATGTGGGACAAAAATATAGAGCGGACCCGGGCTCCCGTAAACCTCGTGAGGACAACACAGCAAGTTGTGAACGAGTTGAGCTTCGAGAGAAGCCGCTCACTGAGGCCGGAGACCCGCTCTGACTCTCAGCACTTCCCCTCTCAGCCGAAAGAAGGGGCAAGCTCAGCCTCAGGCCGACTCGCACTCTCCCCTGCCAGGGAAGCCCAAAAGCCATCCTGCCCCCAGATCCCCCGTCCCCGCTCAGACAGCCCGCCATCAACCGTTTTTTTACCTCACTCAAACCCGGCCGTCGTCCTGACACCGAGCGCCCGCTCGTTCCCTCACCCGCCGACCGCTCCAGCACACCCCGCCCGGCCCGAACAGTCCGCGCGCGGGGCCCGCCCCCACCTTTCCCATTGGTCATTCCGCGCTGAGGTACTGCCCACGGAGACTTCATTGGTCACACCGCAAAAGCGTGGGTCCCGCCTTCGACACTCTCATTGGCCACCCGTACAGAGTACCCGCCCTCAACCTGCCTCATCGGTTATCCCTTGGAATTGGTCTCGCCCCTGGAAAAGCATTGGTCATCCTGAAGCGAGGTATTACCTTCAAACATTCTCATTGGCTACTTCCGGGACAAGACGCCGCTTCCTGCATACGAATTGGGTATTCTAGGGTAAGGCCGCGCCCTCTGCACTCTCATTGGTCTTCCGTACCGGTGACCCCGCCTATCGCTATTCCCATTGGCTGGTCCTACGGCCACGTGTCTTACCTGGTGTTTGTCTCCCTATAAAAGCTGACGTCTTCTTTCCTCCTGTCCCAGTCCATTTGGCGGATTTGGGTAAGTAGGTTAGAGTTACTGTCTCAGGCCTCTTGCTGAAGGTGAACAGGCTCTGGTCGCTTATCAAACCTTCCTTCCTAATGCCTCGAGTCTATGTAAATCTTACTATGTGTAAGAGGTCTTTGGCTTTTTTTTGTTTGGATAGCCAAAGTCCGATGATTTCTTTATTTGCGTAAAGTTGTACAGCATAGAAACAGACCCTGCGGTCCAACTCTTCCATGCTGACCATGCTATATAAATCTTGTCCAATTTGCTAATATTTGGCCCATATCCCTCTATACCTATCCAGATGCCTTTTAAATTTTGTAATTGTACCAGCATCCACCACTTCCTCTGGCAACACATTTCACACACCATACTCTCCATGAAAAAGCTGCCCCCTATAGGTCCCTATTATCTCTTCCCCTCTCACCTTAAACCTATGCTCTCTAGTTTTGGATTTTCCCACTCTGGGGGAAAGACTTTGCCTATTTACCCTATCCATGTGCCTTATGAAATCTCTATAAAGTCACCCCTCAGTCTCTGACTCTCCAGGGATGATAGCCCCAACCTATTCAGCCTCTCCTTATAGCTCAAACCTGGCAACATGTAATCTTTTGAGCCCTTTCAAGTTTCACAACATCCTTCCTGTTGGAGGGAGAGCAGAATTGCATGCAAAGCTCAGTGGCTGAACTCATGTCCTGTACAGCTGCAACATGACCTCCTGACTCCTATAGTCAAGGTGCTTGCCAGTAAAGGCAAGCATACTTTGATATGCAACTGTACAGAGCTGAACTGTTTTAGTGACAATGTAGACAATTTTTTATGAATAAAGTATATTTTTAAAATAAAATTTTTGGCTGCTGTGGGCCCTATGTCTTGTTTGTTAGGCAGGCAGGTTCAGAACAGCCACTTGTCCTTCCAACTTTCCTTTAGCTGTGCTAATGTTTAGATCCCTACTTGAATCAGGGAAAGTTGAGCAGAAAAAGTAAATGTAGTTTCACTGAATATTCAAGTGATTCACACTTGGAAGTAGATGGTGAGATGGTGAAGGTGTAGACTCTTATGTGACTGTAGTACTGCTGATTGTGTAGGTTTGTATGAATAAACAGAAATAGCTTCAGTAACTATTTCTGGTAGAAGCTCAACTTGTTTAGTTTCTTCTATTGAAATAGAAGATACAGCAAATGGTCTTGTATTAATGAGATATCTATTGGTCATCTGAAGCATTTGCAAGCCCTTGTTTTGCTGAATGATCTGTTATACCTGCTTTTTTTGTTCTGATATAAAAGCCAGGAGATGTTTTTCTCATTTATAAGGTTAAAGTGATCTGATTTGAGTCTTGAAGATCTTAACAGGAAAAGACAGGGTGGATATGGAGAACTTACTTCTGTTGTTTGGATCCTAGAAACCTGGACCTCAGTCTGAGAACTAGTCAGACAAGGAGTGGTATGGTGGCTAAGTGGTTAGCACTGTTTCCTCAGTGCCAGTGACCCAGGTTTGATTCCACCCTTGGGCGACTGTCTGTCTGTAGAGTTTGCACATTCTGTGTCTGCGTGGGTTTCTTCCCACAGCCCAAAGATGTGCAGGGTAGGTGGATTGGCTAGGCTAAATTGCCTGTAGTGTTCAAGGATGTGTAGATTAGGTGGGTTATGAGGGATGGGTCTGGGTGGGATGCTCTGTGGGTTGGTGTGGACTTGTTGGGCTGAAGGGCCTGTTCCCACACTGTAGGGATTCTGTGACCACTCAAGGGATCTATTAGCAATCACTTCCATAAGTAAAGGGTGGTAGATGTTTGGAGCTCTTGTCCACAGACTGCAATGGATGCTAGATCAGTTCATTTTAAATTGATAACTTTAAGTGAACCTGAGGAATGTCAGATCAGTCATGATCCTTCAAGTGGTGGAGCAGGCTTAAGGGGCCAAACAGTCTACTCCAGTTTCTATTTCTTATGGTCTTATCAGTGCTATTTCCTTGTTGGTTTTGCTCAAATTGGTGTCCTCGGGCTCTTGATCCTTCTATCAATGACAATAGTTTCTTTCTATCTGCTGTGTCCAGATGTCCTGTTTTTGTACACTTTTTTTCTAACCAAAGCTTTCCCAAAGACCTGCTTTAATCTATCCATGTAACTGAATCCTCTCATTCCTGGAATATTCTCAGAAATCCTTTACCTGTGACTTGAGCAGGTCAGAAACTAGCTGCAGCAAATAGCTTGTGTAGCTTCCCCACTGCTTGTCTACCATCCTCATGACGTAAGTCAGGACTCTGTTAGAATACCTTTCCTGTCTAGATGAGTGCAGCTCCAACAACACTCAGGAAGCTAAACACCATCCATGTCAAAGCAGCCAACTTGATTGGGACCATATCCATCACCTTCAACATGCACTTTCGTTGTTGCAAAGTAGCAGCAGTGTATGCTGTCCACAAGATGCACTGCAGTAAATCATGAAGGCACTTTCAACAGCCTTAATTAGCTGGGCTCAGCATCACATGCAAATTCCTTCCAAGATGCACCATCATGAATCGGCAATATTTCACTGTGGCTTTGTCAAAAGCCTGGAAAGTCCTCCCTAATGGCAATGTGGGTGTTCTTGCATTACATGCACTGCGGCTGGTCAAGAAGACACTTCACCATCACCTTCTCAAGAAACAGACAGTAAATGCTGGTCTTCCAGCCACGTCCACTTTTGTTGAAGGAATTAAAAAGTTACTATACTTTGAGCTGATGGCAGTGCTTCCAAGATTTGGTTGCAGTATATGTATAAAAACAAACATGTATTTGTCATATACTTTGCAACCTCCAGGACATCCAGAATCACTTCACAGCCAATGAACCACTTTAAGCTGTGGTCTCAACTCTGCACAGCAAGGGCCACAAACATATATAATGGAAAATCAGGAAAAAAATTGTGCTTTAACTGGCCCTCCAACATAGAAACAGGAGTATTTCTTTCAGTCCCTTGGACCCTTATTAGGTTTCAATTAGATCATAGCTGATCTGTATCTGAGCTTTGTATTCCAGCCTTGTGCACGTATCCCTTGATAATCCTATCTGCCAAAAATATATTGACCTCATTCATGAAACCTTTGATTGTTCTCCAACATTTATTGTTGTGGGGCTTGAAGGAGGTTTCTCCTTAATGTTTTAAACACCTGGATTGGATTATCAGCAAGATATTGAGAATAATGATCTCTTGTGAAGGTTTCTTCTAGTTTGAAATTGTCAAGAGCTGCAACTGTCCTTCAATTGACCTCCAGTTTTGGGCAAGCACAGAACTGTTAGATTAGGTGACGTTTATCTCTGTCTAGTACCAGCCTTTGTTAGAGCACTCCAAGATGAGACATGCCAGGAAATATCTGATTTTGTGACATGACTATTTTCATGTAAATCATGTGTTGTGTAAACAAAAATATTTGACACAAACCTTTCGCAGAGGCCAGCTCTGTAAAGCTTGCTTGCTGGTGGATATTGAACGTCTGTGGTGAAGACAAATATTAACATGTACATGGTGATTTGCCTTCAAAGTAAGTTTTCAATATATTCCTGGCATCTTAAGTCTGTTCTTATCAAACAGCAAAACTATTTCTGTGGAGTGTGACAGTTCAGCTCTTGCAGAAGCCTACTGATAAGTGAATACTTTATCTACCCACTGCAAATTCACACATGTTTGCATACCATTTTTTTAAACAAAAGTTGCTCACTGCAACGATGGAAGTTTGTTTCAAGTTTGCAGAAATTTTTGATGCTAATCTTTTCTTTATTAAAAATGAAAGTACAAGTTCTTGGATAAACAACACATTACTATCCAGAACGTTAGGCTGTTTAAGAAGTTAAGACCCTATGCTGTTGGAGATAGTATGGATAGAGGACTGCCGAACTAATAGAAGTTGAGATAAGAGAATCATTGTCAGGATTGTGACCTTCACTAGATGAGCCATAATTATTTACAATATATATTCCTGACTTGGATGAGAAAAGTAAGTGTACGATAGCCAAGGTGGGAAGGTAGAAGTGGTGAGGATGACACGATGAGTCTGCAGAGGGATATAGGCAGGTTAGGTGAGTAAACAAAAACTTGGCAAATGGAATATAATGTGGGGAAAGGTGAGGTTTGCACTTTGGCAGGAAGAATAGAGCACTGGATATAGTTTAAATGGAGAAGGACTGCAGGGTGCAATGGAACAGAAGGATTTGGGAGTCCTCATGCTTGAATCACAAAAAGCTAGCAGCCAAGTTCGGCGGTAAATGGAATGCTGGCCTTTATTTTGAAAAGAAATAGAATAGCAAACATTCCTTACTTTTTTTATAGAACTTCCTATTAGTTCAAAAGAATTTATTCCTAAAATCCTGTACCTAGGTAACTTTGTACCTAAGGTGGCACTGTAAGACGTGACTTTGTAAACTTTTCACTGCACTTCTGTGAGTACATGTGACAATAAACCTAATTCTAATTTCAAGATGTAGGGGACAGAATAACTATAAGCTTAATGGTATAGATAAGACTTAAGCCACTTGCTCATTAATAAGCAAAAAATATGGCCAATAATAGTGAAGAAAATTAAAGTGAATGAGCACACAGCCACAAAAGGATTTGAACAGCTTAATGGAAGCAATGATTTAATATCAAAATTTAAGATAACCAAAATGCCAACTAACAAAAATGATAATAGTATTAGGTATTAGTGGAGCTTGATTGGACTGAATAATTAAACAACTAACAAGATTGAGGCTACACAAATGTATGCGTCCCTAATGACGGGGGACTCTAATACATCAGTGCAAAATAGAAGGCCGAAGCTTTGCAATCTCCTTCAATCAGAAGTGCTGACTGGATGATCTATCTTGGTTGCATCCAGTGGTCCCTGGCATCATGTGCCATTTGTCAGTCAATTCAATTAATTCCATGCGATATCAAGAAATGGTTTGAGGCACTGGATAATGAATAAGCATTCCAACAACATCCTAGCGATAGTACCAAAGACTGTGCTCCAAAACATGTCACACTGATAACTGAGCTGTTCCCAATACTGCTACAACGCTGGCATTTACTTGATAATCAGGAAAATTGCCCAGGTACATCCTGAAGACAAAAATAAGAACAAATCACCCTGGCCAATTACAACTGCATCAGTCTACTCTTGATCACCAGCAAATTCATGGAGGAAGTTGACAACAGTGCAATCAAGCAGCAGTTGCTCTATAATAACCTGCACGTTGATGCTCTGTTTAGGTTCTGCTAGGCCTGTTCAGATCTTGACTTACTGCCGCTGGAAAATCCTGGAACTCCCTTCCAGGTTTGTGGCACTTTGTCCCCTCTCCATAGATTTCATGACTTCAAGAAAATAACTCCCCACCATGTGATCCATTATAATTAGGGATGAGCATTAACTGCTGGCTTAGCCAGTGATGCCTACGTCCTGTGAATTAATAAAAAGTTATTATTTTAACAGAGATTGGTACCTATTTGAACAAATAGAGGGTATTCAGTAGAGTATATACATCTGCTTTGTTGCGTTAACTCAATGTTGCCAAAGTTGCAATTCTTTCTTGAGGATTTTCCTGCCTGATTGATGCTCTGTAACTGTAAAGCTGAGAAAATATTTTTTGTTTTGTGAAGGATTGACACTCACTGCATATCAGGCCAATCCAAATTCACAACTTGACAGAAGGTGAGTGCACTTTGCTCCAGACTGACCAAGAAGGCTGTGCCACCAGACAAAGTCAGCCTGGATGGATAGCCACTCGAGCCAATGTAGTCTCCAGCGTGAAAAGAAATATCCAGCTGTCATATAGTTAATTGTCTCCTGAGCTCTGCAAGAGTAAAATGCCATGATTTTCTCTCTTGCATCCTCACCATCACTCTAACTCTGCCACCACATTGTAACATCACCAAAGCTAATGGACTCTCGCTATTGGATGCAGCATCCCCATTCAACGGCTCTCACTCTTATCATCCTTCCAAACGATTAACCCCTCCTGACCTTTGCATTTCCTACTCCCCGTAGGGACATCTCAGCCCCTTTCATGTTCCTGCACTGTCATTGATGGCTCTTCCACTCAGCTTTGTCTCAGGTCAATCCCTTCTCTTGTTTCACGCAAAAGACATTGTCACACAGCAGGTCCCAGAGGGCAGAGATGGCAGCAGAGATTTGAACAGCAATGATGTACTACTGAGCTTGTACAAAACCTTGGTTAGACTACATGGGATTACTGTGAACACTCTAGTCTCTACAAGGGCCCTAGAAAAGTTTGCAAAAAAAGTTCTAACCTGTTTCTATAAATTGAACGATCATGAAAGTTTGAAAAAGCCAGAGCTCTTTTTGCCTGAAGAGACAAGTGACCTGATGGAGAAACGATTTCCTGGAGCAGCTCGAGAGAAAAAATGTCCACTTACCAGAAAAGTCTGGGCTGTTGGCTCAAATTAAAAATTCGTTGTAATTCCTGCTACGAAAGTAGAAACCCAGCGATACTGAGACTATGTCAAGACAACCAAGTAAACATTGTGCTGTGCTACACGCTCTCATTCCCAACACTGACTCATTAAGATGCTCAAGTTTCTACATTTTATGTGCAACTAATAGCCTCTCTCTTTCTGATGCAGGCCGCAGTGGCACACACACAACAAAGAAGTCAACCCTTCACTCCATCAGCTCCTCCTCCACCACTAAAGAGACAAGACACATTCCTCCGAGGACAGCTGTCTGCTGCTCCCTCCAGCAGCTCAGACCTTCCGCTCAGTGAGTTCTCCATCTCATTTATATTCCGGAGCACATTCTCATGAACACATCATAAGCACACAGCTCCACAAATGGTTGAGGAAGAAATGCCTCATGCAAATGGCACAAAGCAGACTGCCAGAGATCAGGCAATTGCTCAGTACCTGGTAGGAGATAACCCCTCCATTGTGTCAATTATTAATAACTTCATGAAAATGCACAGACAGTCATAGGAGCAGCAGGCAGATTGTCAGGGGCATGGTCAATTGCAGCAAAGAAGGGAGGAGTAAGCAGTAAAGTGCTGGTTCCAACATATGTCCTTCTGGCTGTTTCCATGGGCAGGTTAGGAGCTACACGGAGACCAGGTACAGCAAAATGAAGATGAGGGGTTGCTGGACTCGAAACATTAATTCTGTTTTTCTCTCTCCACAGATGATGTCAGACTTAGAGTCGTGGAGATATGCAGCACAGAAACAGACCCTTCAGTCCAACTCAGACATCCTATATAAAACTAGTCCCATTTGGCCCATGTCCCTCTAAACCGTTCGTATTCATATACCCATCCAGATGCCTTTTAAATATTGTATTCGCACCAGCTTCCACTACTTCCTCTGGCAGCTCATTCCATACACGCACCACCTTCTGCGTGAAAATGTTGTCCCTTAGGTCCCTTTTATATCTTTCCCCTCTCACCTTAAACCTATGCCCTGTAATTTTGGGACTCCCCCACCCCAGGGAAAAGACCTTGCCTATTTACCCTATTCATGTCTCTCTTGATTTTATAAACCTCTATAAAGGTCACCCCTCAGCCTACTACGCTCCAGGGAAAATAGCCCCAGTTTGCTGAGTTTCTCCAGCCATTTCTGTTTTTGTTACAATGAAGTGCTCAGTGATTGCTGGAAATGCCTGCAGACTTGCACTCCATCACTTTAGCACTTTAATAGTCAGCAAAGCAGGGGGTAGGTAAGGGATGTTGGCTTCACTTACAGTGCCCCTTCCTCTCACGTAGGCAGGATGGTCGCACCAGGCATCCAGGTGGCACTGTAGCCACAGAGAAGTCACCTTTCAGGATATCCCAGATCCTTCCACCACAACCATGCCTGAAATCACTAACGTTGCAACTGAGGAGGGTAAACCTGATTTTGGTCAGGGGACACTCAGCATGTCTGAGCTCTCTAGCCACAAATAACCCACAGTCATCCATCCAAATCTTGAAGACCACCAGGGTCCACTTCAGCGCAGGCTCCTTCCAACCAAACCGCAGACCCTAAGGTTGCACCAAGACATAGTGGAGGGCAAGGAGAAAAAAATGAGATGAGGGCACATAGTTAGCATAGATGACACATCATTGAAAATACAATTTCACATCTAAGTATTTTTGCATTTTCAATTGTCACATGCCTGATCAACTGTAATTTGAGCTGTAGGACTAGGTTATATGATGACCATGTCAATACTAAGTAGCCCCTTCATTCATCTCAAGGAGAGGCATTGCTTACCTCTGAGAAGCAAAATGCAGAGCAACATAACTTCTTTCAGTTCTTATATTCACGAGTGCAGCCACGACTTAACACATTAATGAGAAGATCATTAAGGCCAAAGCCAAGCACCTTGTAATAGGTCCTTTCCTCCATCATGCTCCACACTTATGGCCACTTTTTACATGTGACTATGTAATTATTCATGAGCGCACACACTTCTGGAGGCAAAGATTCATTCTAACTACGAGTTTTACAAGGGAGTACACAGTCATTCAAGGATCGGCAGTGTCCAATAATCCTTTAAAATCAAGACCCTGCCTCATAAGGTGAGGAAAGATGCTGTATGTGCAGCCTCTTACTTTGGAAGTTGGGGTAATGTATTTCAGCATCACTTGCTCGTTCAGCAGGATATGCAAATTCACTGATGTGGAAAGTTGAATGTTAATGGAAGGATCAAAAGGATCTGCACCAGGATCCCTCTTAAACTGATACTAATCATAGGCGAACTCAGTACACAGCTCTCTGATACATTCGTAAGTTAAGCCTCAGAAACAAACCTTCCTTTGCTTGACACAATATTATGTTACCGTCAGATCCAGGTAAGATTCCCAAATTGGTTACAGCTTCATGATCCTTAGTTTTGCAGATTGTTTAAGATTTTATCATTCTGACACATTTTGATCATGATTGAAATCCAGAATTCAGTGTGTCCTTTGTCCTTTTGAACTGGTTTGCAGCACTTGGAGTTAGATATGGTCGTTACCTGCGAGTCAGGGGTAACTAGGGGATAATTCTTTGACTATGAACTTCACAACATGTTAACCTTCAAGCCCAGCTGGCACACATGGGAATTTTCAGTCCCACCAGTCCACTCCAATGGAATTTAAACTAGCTTTTTAACTCCAGATCTTTGTGTATTCCTGGACAGTAAAACAGACATGTCTGCAATCGATTGCTTTCTGCTGAGAGGGGAGGGATAGTCAGCACTGTCCTCAGTATCTCTTCTTATTAAGTCTCCTATTTCAGTTTCTCTAATAATTTACATTAGCAATATTTCATTGGCTTCACATGAGACTTTACCAGACAGTGTATTTAAATCTGAAGGTTTTCTGGAGCATCCTCCAAAATAATAGTCCTTCCAAACACATTTTGGAATCAAAGGCACAGAATATCTAGAAATGCTTTAGATTCTGATATGTCATTGTAATACTAACCGGCTGGGGTTACCTTGAAGATCCCACCTTGCCACCCTTGCCCCTTGTCTGAGGTGTGATGACCTTCAGGTTAAACCAATACGTCGCTCCTTAATGAGAGAGCAGCCCTGTGGGATTTTTACAAATTTACTTCCCCCAAAGAACAAATAAAATGCGATCCAATCTCGTTTCAGTACACAGGAGTATGTTTTTTTAAAAAATTAAACATAAACAAACAGGTACACTCAGACAAACAATCATTCCTCTTAGCCTTAGTCAATTATATTTTTGGTTTTAACCAGGCCTTACAAAGTTCTGGACAGATCGGCTGCATCACGTTTGATTTCCCGGCAATGTGGGTGGTTTTTATTTGGTACAATTGAATGAACAAGCTCCAATGGAATAATCTGGCATTCTGGGTCTTAACTTTTTACAAAACGGTTAATGGGTTGGGGTCAATTTAGCCTGTTGTCTCTCTATGCATTCTAGACACACCTCTCAAAGTGTTTGGGAGTAATAATCGATGAGGCTTTCCTTCTCTATCGTGGAGTATCATCTCTGATATTTGTTTATCCATTTTTAGAGAAATACCCAATTGGTCTCTCTTTTGCAGATTCAACTTCTTGAAGTGGAATCCGCTGTCACTCACATCAATGGCTTTTGTAAATGCTTGTTTAAAGTTTGGAGTAGCAAGCACAGGCTCACTTATTAAATTAGTTTTCAGATTTTCAAAACTGGGTTGCCATTGTGCAGTCCATACGACCTTGCTTTTTTCTTGAGTAGGTCTGCCAGTAGTACAGTGACTGTACTGATATTTGGGATCAACCTTTGGTAGAACCTATATATTGCCTGGAATCTCATGATTTCCCACTTTCTTGTGAGAAGAGAGAAGTAATTTACAGCTTATACTTTTGCACCCCTGGGCAAGGCTCATTCTTCATCCACTATGGGTCCTCAATAGGTCACTTGAGCCTTGGCAAATTTACTCTTTGCAAGATTGACCTCTAGATCAGCTGACTGTATTTTTCAGAACACATCAGTCCCGTTCAGTCCCACTAATCCACCCCAGTGCATTTGAAACTAGCTTTTTAACTCGGGTCCTTGTGCATTCCTGAAGAGTAAAAACAGACATTTCTGCAAGAGGGGGCTTCCTGCTGAGAGGGCAGAGATAGTTCAGGCCTGTCCTCTTTATAGCGTCTAGTTAAGTCGCTTCCTGTTGCAATTTTGTTGTTAATTTGCATTTGTAACTTGTACAAATTCTTCAGAACCTGTCAGACACTTCAACCAATAGGTTATAAATGAATTTAGCCAGGTCTACCACAATATCAGAACGGTCAAAACACTACAGACAAAGTTGATACCGATGCAAACTGTCATTACTGTAAGACTTGAATACTAAGACTGCTCTTACTAATCCTGCCCAATCCCCTTAGTCGTTATAGTACTTTCCAGAATCTCCAGTTTCCAATTGGATTCATTAAGTCATTGTTTTCTCTCTCTCTTTCTCATTCCGGACAATCAGTCAATCTTTGCCTTTGCCACATTGGTCACTTCTTTGACTCCAGAAAGTCCAATAGATTGACCTGCAGGCAAGCCCCATTTTTATACCTTTTTGGGTGATTTTCTGCAACTGTCTACAGTTCTGGTCAATCAGGGAAACTTGCTTAATGGTTTGAAACATTGTCAATCATTTGTTTCTTTATGTGGCAGCGCCTGGGTGCCTTTCTGACTGGTTTTTGGTTGAAAATAAGCATTCTTCCTTTGTTTGGTTGAACTGTTGACGAGATATATCCTTTTTATGCTATGCTTATGTCATTAGCACCTGGCTGCTGTATTTGCACTGTCTAGTTTCTGGGTTTACAACTTGTAGAGCTTTACTTGGCCAACATGTCTCATACCCACCATCCCTTGCTGTTGGGCCAAGTTGACAATCTACTTATGTTTTAGCAGCTGTGAGGCTGCTCCACAGCATTCCATTGGCTTCACACAAGACTTTGCCAGACAGTCAGTAAATTTAAATCTGCAGTTTTCTGTAGCAGTCCCCTGTTTAAATAACACATTTTGGATTTAAAAGTAAATATATCTGTAATCGAGGACCAATCACCATAATGTTTCCCCCAGAAATTTAGGGAAACTTTTTAGTTTTTTTCAAGTTTATTTTTTTCTGTGAAAATTTACCCAGTTGAGTTATTTTATTTAATCCGTGGGTTCAAAAGGATACGGATTTGTTAGGACCAAACCTTGGGCGAGGTTTCCCAATTTGTTTCAGTTCCAGGAGGTTACCCCAAATCATTAAGTCTCCAAGTGAAGAGGGATGAACTGGCTCCCTGTCTTTATTCACCCACCCTCTCAGTTCGTAGCAACTAGGTCAATTTGGAAAGGATCTCTTCCCTTGTGGATAACGTTTTCCTGGATCCAAATGAATTTGTTTTAAAAGGAACTGATTTAACTAGGCTTTCTTGAATTAACAGAAAGAGAGTTTAGTAATTACTGCACAGTAGAAAAAGTATTACTATAACACTGATTCCAAATAAGAGGTAATTCCAAAGAAAACAAGTTAAAGAAAAGTTATAAAAACCGAAAGATCTGCGGATGCTGTAAATCAGGAACAAAAACAGAAGTTGCTGGCAAAGCTCAGCAGGTCTGGCAGCAACTGTGAAGAAAAAAATCAGTTAACGTTTCGGGTCTGGTGACATTGAGGAAGTGTAATTGAATGGCAGATGTATGACATCATTGAGATTATGGGTACCTGAGTAATGCAATTTCCCCTTGAAAGGCCTTACATTGCCTAGAAATCCAACTGCCCCCTCCCCCTCCAAAACAGACAAAACAAAACAGACTTAATCCACCAACTGAGATTATACTGGCAGCCACATTTCATCTTTATTGCACAGTTGAAATTTGGTTGAAGGTGACAAACTCTCTTTTAGGCTTCCCACATTCTGATCTAGCTCTTGCAAATGACAATGAATATTGCCCTATGTTCACCCACCACCACC